AATTTATTGTTTCAAATATAAATATTCTATAAAAATAACATAAGTAGAATTATTTTTTTAACGTTAAAATAGAGTCAATCATTTTAATTTCCTTTGTTTTTATTTTATGTTTATTATTTTATTAATTAGACATTACCGAAATATTTTGCATTGATTAATGGAATGAATTGTTCATTAATGAAAAATAATCGTCTTTTTATGTTCATTGTCAAAAGAAAAAAAAGAAACAAGACAATTCATGTTGTTGTTTTTTTCTATTGCCATTTTCTGTTGTATATGAAACTTCATAATATAAAACTTTTTTTTCTTGTTGTCGATGTAAAAAAGAAAAACACAAAGCTAATAATTGTTGGTATTTATAGTTGTGTAGAAAGATAATGAAGATAAGAAAAGTAAATGAATAAGCAAAAAAAATTATTTGAATGATGAAATGTTGTCGTTGACAAGTATTCAGATTGTCCCAACAAGGGTGTACGTATATGGGTGTAGATGTGGGAGTGGGGTGCGGGATATGGGTGCATGAGCGTGAGTGCGGCTAAGTTTCTTATCCACACTCACACCCTACAATTAATTTTATTTTTGTTTTAAAGAACATGTCAGAATACAGGAAATGACAGCTAGATTTTCTAAAGTTTTTACTTTTTAAGAGGAGAACAGGGATGAAAGTTCAATGTCTCAAAAAACTCTCAAACAATGGCGCTCTAATTAGAAAAATACTCTTGTATATAATAGTAAAAACAGGTTAATTCAAAAAACGAGCTCTATCATGCCCTGCATCATGGCATACTCTTTCCAACAAAAAAGCCTATTGTCATACTTTATCTGAAAAAAATCATATTTTTCAAGTAGAAAATGACGAAGATTTTTGAGAAAAAATGAGATGCCAAATAAAAAAATTCTTATGCCTTTATCTCAATTTTCATGTTTTCCACGAAAACTGGATGGGAAGGGAGCTTAATGTTTATTCGTTTGATTTGAATTTTTAACCAAAATATTTTTTGTTCAATTGTCCAGAAACGCATATAAAATGTTTCAATATAAAAACCAACATCGAAAGATTAAGTGATGAGAGGATTGTAAGACGTGCACATAATATATTTCATAAGATTCTTTAGTCTTTTTTTCATTCTGTTTGTTGTTATATTTGAAAAATACGCACAACCTTAATCATCTATTGAGAAAATATTTGATTATTGTTCAATGAGATTTTTTTTCTTTTGTAGATATTTTGAAGATCTTAACAAAAAAAAACTGGCACCATTTTGTAAAACTGTTTGGCTATAAATATTGTCATTATTTTGAAAATGAATGACTTATTTCATAAATGTACGCAATGATCTTCTATGAAATTGAAGTTTTGTGAAAAAAGTCTCACATAAGAATATGAATTTTCAGCAACTTTTGACGTCGTTCTGTAAGAAATTTCGATATGTGTGCATCGGTCTGCTTGTCAAACAGCTTTAACTAGCGATGATGATAAAGACCATATTCGAAAATTTTGCAAAATTAAAACGAGTGTATCTTTTTAAAGATAAAAAAAAAATAATTAACTCTTCAACACAAATCCTCTTAGAAAATGATTCACTTTCGTGCACAATGATATGATAATAATATTTCGAAAAGGGAAGACGACAATGACACATATTAAATATACCGAATCGCAGCGTTTATCAGGTCCTTAGCGAAAGATTCGGCGAAACAAAGTCTCTTACGCGGTTTATCAAGGTGCTATGATGCATACCTGTAGAAAGCTGTCAAATATGAGTTTAGCAAATAAAAGATTGATAAAGAGGAAGACAAATGTCTAAAGAGGTTACAGTGTATGAAACAATTCTTTTTATTTTTATTATGAATCAACTTTAATCTTTAAATATAATAAAATCTAGAAAAATGTTGAAGAATTATTAAGTATGTTTACGAAAGAAAAACAGATTTAGTTGACGTTGAATATTGTAGTCATATATTCGAATAATTCTTATCTCAATCACAAAACAATCTACATTCTCCAAGAAAAAAAAACATACGTTAAAGACATGATTAATTGATGATATTCAAATGAGTCAATAAAATTCATCGTGACTTCACAAGTCTTAAGAAAACTATATAAGGGAATGAGTATTGATTCCATATTAACATTAAAATAGAAAATGGAAGCTAAATCCGATAGAGTTTTCAATGATGACAACCTTCCTCAAACAACAGATCCTAATGAGAATAAAAAATGGAAAGGTACTAAAATAACTTCGTTTGTTTTTTTTCTTAATGTAGTTTGTTCGTTTAGATATGAATCGAAAAGATCGAATTAAATCAATCACTATCTTAATATTAAGA